TTTTCACAATTTTATATTTTCTATAAAATAAAACAACGGTTTATGAGAAATGTTTCTAATTATATATTAATTATTATATCTAGATGTTTCTATTATATATTAATTATTATATCTCAAAGAGTTGAAAATACTTTAACTGGATGAACATGTTTAATTATAATACACCATAAAGTTGTGTAACTCATTTTGTTTTATAACTGCTGTTGCATAACGAACTGGTGATCTTCTGATTTCATTGCATCGTTTATTAAAATAAATAAATGATTTAAGCCAATAATATAATGAAAACTATTTTAAAGTATGATATTAATAAAAATTATTTCTTCCATTTTATATACAAGTTAATAGCAATAGACATTTTTATTTTATGTAAAAATGGTTATTTTATTACTGGTAATATTTACACTTATTGGTAAATTTATATTTCAAAACATCAGATTTGTTAAATTATTAAAAATATATAAAATTTATTTTTTTCCATTTCTATTATAATTTATTCTATGCCATATTATTATATTTTAATATTTCATACTCTTTGAAACACTGCCATATTATGTCTGTGGCTTAATGGAGAAACGTCACAATTTGAGTTTATACACTAACTGAATTGTGAAATATAGGATATATTGAGATTAATAGAAAATAGGAGATCATTCAGAGACTACAGGATGTATTTGTTGTAAAAACATGCGTGCAAATAAATTTTATAGATTCAGAAAATTATATAATTTAATTGAAGTCTAACTTTATACACATTAGAATTTCTATTTTTATTAATCTTCCTATATTGCAACTTATTTTGTACAAAATGAAACGACTAGAATTATATTCTACATCCTTATTTTATCAGAAACAATAATATGCTCTTACATATAAGTGATATATATATATATATGAAAAAAAGACAATATTATGCAAAGTGAAAGAAATAAACAGAAACAAAGAGACATTGCTAACAAGAAGTATTGCAGTTAAAAACTTTGAAAGATAATATCTCGAAAATGAAAGCATCTGACACATAGCCTTTTTCTTTACAACCATAGATATATGGTTGCTTAACTACGTTACATAATTCAATTAAAATCTTTTTATGCTTTTTATTTCGCATTACTTTATGTGGTTTTTTAAAACTTTTTTATTTTTTTAGAACACACACACAGCCAATATCTAAAAATTATTTTTAAGAACTAAGATTTTTATCTCCCTAAAAGTTAAATCGTTTACAAACATCATATTTAAAATTATTGGTTTTGCAATATATACATACTATGTATTACATATATGTATCGTAATGGTTCAAAAAATCATCATGATTAGTAATTGAAACAATATTATGCCTGAACAATGACATTTAATGCAATATTTCCGAGGAAGTAAAACATCGTATTAAAAAATATCTGAAAGATATTAATCGTATTTGATCATCGATTTTTATCTTGTTATGTCAAACTATTACGTGCATATACAAATACAATGAAATTTCGTCAAACGAAGCGTCAGAAAATCGATGCAAGATTAAATCGAAAAATACATTGATTATTTTAATCTGATTCAAAACTACGATATTCAAAAATATTTATAAGACTAAACTCATAAAAATAAATAAATCTTACTCTTAATGCACGAAATAATCGCCAATAGCTTAATTATTAAAATATTAGAAGATTATAACAATTTAAGGCTTTAAAGTGAATTCTGAAATTTTTAATTTCATTGCGAATATTGTTTACAGAGAATGTTTTAGTAAGTTATGTTTAAAAGTTTTAGTAATCAAACAAATATTAAATGAATTTGCTGCTCAAAAAGAAGAAACATTTTCTCATATCTGAAAAAAAATCGTTTTTGTTAAAAAGGATTTGAGCTAATTGCCTTAATAATGGTTTAGAATTATATATATATATACATATATATATTTCAGAATTATATTATAGGTTTAGAATTATATATATATATATATATATATATATATATATATATAT